GTGGGTGGGTGGGTGGATGGGGGCTGCGGGGAGGGGACACGCGCCCCCCGGCCCGGATCCAGCCCTGTCCGCCCGAGCCCCCGCACTGCACCCCGGGGAGCCCGGACGGCCCCGCTTCTCGTGTCACATCGTGTCGGGTCGGGTCGGGTCGTGTCATGCTCTGTCGTTTCACATCACGCATCGTTTTGCCACGGCAGAACAAGACATGATATGATATGATATGATATGATATGATATAGCCCAGCAGTGCCATATGATGGCATGTTATGGTCTCTCATATCACACATTATATTATGCTCTGTCCTGTTCTGTCATAACCATACAGGATCTGGCCTGACGTGACCTAGCAGAACAAGATGATACATGTCGTCATGTTCTGTCATGCCACATATTATGTTATGCTATGTCCTGTTGTATCATCGCATGACAACATAGGATAGGATAGGACGTGTGGTGTGGTATGGTATAACAATACCATGTTATGCTATGCCCTGCTGTATCATCGCCTGACAGGATAGGATAGGATAGGATATATAGCATGGCATGACATAACATAGGATAATATAGACCATAACATAACATATTGTATTGTTGTGTTAGGTTATGTCCTGCTGTATCATCACTTAACAAGACAGGATAGGATAGGATAGGATAGGATAGGATAGGTGGTACGGCATGGCATGGCATGGCATAGCAATACGAGATGTTATGTTATATCACAGTCCATATCACGCTGTAACCTTGTGCTGTGCAGGTTTTATGTTGCCCTGAATCCTAGTCTATCCTCTCCTAGGATGCTGGGTGGCACTAGGGTGCACACCGTGTGAGATGAATAGTGCCCCTAACAGGACGTGCCATATCCTCCAGGAGACATGTTCGGAACTACATCCTCGGAAACGGGCCAGCTTGCCCTGGCGCACTCAGCGGGTGTCTGTACGGATATGCCCCGTATCCGCGGCCTCTTGCGGGCTAAGATCGGGTGTGAGGGGGTCCAGGAGCGGAGTGTCCGTCTACACGCCCGTACCATGCACCTGTGCTTGCCAGGCGGACCCGGAGTGTGCCGGGCAGAGCCGAGCTGGGTTTTGAAGCGAGTTTCATGGCCCCTTAGCCCGTTTGCCAGCCGGTGCTGGGAGCAGGCTACGGAGAGCAAGCACAGCCCCGTTTGGCCGCCCGAGTCCTGCAGCCGCCAGCTCGGGGCAGCGCGGCTTGTAAAAGCCAGAATACATGCATCCATCACAGCTGGGACCTGCCGGGAAAGGCTGGCTGTCCTCCCACTGCACGGGCACTCGCACCCAGCCCTGCACAATACAGGGCCGGGGTGAACCCATTGCCTGCACTGATAATCCCTCCGTATGCACGGGGCACCTACTGCTCGGCCACAAATACAGCATCACGGTCTCCGACTTTAATAGCGAAGCATTAGGGGCTAATCTGCGCACGAGCCAGGGACATATTTCTCAGCAAAACCATTGCGGTAATTACGTTGTTGTACAGAGACGTGGGTCAAATACTCAATTGGACTCGTGTAACGTGAGCAACCCCAATGGCTTCGGGAGAAATACGTAGTGTGTGTGTGTGTGCGTGCGTGCGTGCGTGCCCGCGTGACAGAGGGAATATTTCAGTATTGAAATACAGTGTGTGTGTGCAAGAGAATGAATATTTCAGTACTGAAATATAGGGTAGGATAGCATGGCTATAGCATCTGTGTGTGTGCAAGAGAAGGAATATTTCAGTACTGAAATACAGTGCGTGTGTGCAAGAGAAGGAATATTTCAGTACTGAAATACAGTGCGTGTGTGCAAGAGAAGGAATATTTCAGTACTGAAATACAGTGCGTGTGTGCAAGAGAAGGAATATTTCAGTACTGAAATACAGTGCGTGTGTGCAAGAGAAGGAATATTTCAGTACTGAAATACAGTGCGTGTGTGCAAGAGAAGGAATATTTCAGTACTGAAATACAGTGCGTGTGTGCAAGAGAAGGAATATTTCAGTACTGAAATACAGTGCGTGTGTGCAAGAGAAGGAATATTTCAGTACTGAAATACAGTGCGTGTGTGCAAGAGAAGGAATATTTCAGTACTGAAATACAGTGCGTGTGTGCAAGAGAAGGAATATTTCAGTACTGAAATACAGTGCGTGTGTGCAAGAGAAGGAATATTTCAGTACTGAAATACAGTGCGTGTGTGCAAGAGAAGGAATATTTCAGTACTGAAATACAGTGCGTGTGTGCAAGAGAAGGAATATTTCAGTACTGAAATACAGTGCGTGTGTGCAAGAGAAGGAATATTTCAGTACTGAAATACAGTGCGTGTGTGCAAGAGAAGGAATATTTCAGTACTGAAATACAGTGCGTGTGTGCAAGAGAAGGAATATTTCAGTACTGAAATACAGTGCGTGTGTGCAAGAGAAGGAATATTTCAGTACTGAAATACAGTGCGTGTGTGCAAGAGAAGGAATATTTCAGTACTGAAATACAGTGCGTGTGTGCAAGAGAAGGAATATTTCAATACTGAAATACAGTGTGTGTGTGCAAGAGAAGGAGTATTTCAGTACTGAAATATAGGGTAGGATAGCATGGCTATAGCATCTGTGTGTGTGCAAGAGAAGGAATATTTCAGTATTGCAATACAGTGTGTGTGTGTGCAAGAGAAGGAATATTTCAGTACTGAAATACAGTGTGTGTGTGTGCAAGAGAAGGAATATTTCAGTATTGCAATACAGTGTGTGTGTGTGTGTGTGTGTGCAAGAGAAGGAATATTTCAGTATTGCAATACAGTGTGTGTGTGTGTGTGTGTGTGTGCAAGAGAAGGAATATTTCAGTACTGAAATACAGTGTGTGTCTGGGTGGGTGTGTGCAACAGAGGAAATGTTTCAGAATTGAAATGCACTCTGTGTGTGTGTGTGTGTGCGTGTGCGTGCGCGTGCGGGAGAGGGAATATTTCAGCATCAGACCGCAATGCTTCCCTTGGAAAACACACGCAGTCCGACCTGGCTGGTCCGTGACAACGGTGCCCATCTGCCCTGCTCCTTGCAAAGCAGGGCTCTGCCCCTCCTGGAGAGGCACTTTTAAGCTCCGGAGGCAGGCAGGAGCGCGGTCCCAACGCCGGTGTCTGTAGGCGACTCCGGCTCAGTTGATGTTTCCTGTTTTGCAGACACAGGATCCTTTCTTTTCTTTTTTTTTTAAACCAAAGCAGAACCCGTGAATTTGGCCCGCACTTTCGCCTGCAAGAGCCAAGCGTGGCGCTTGCACACCGGTGCTCCTGATAGGAGAGGGCCTGGCAAAGCTCCTGGTGCAAAATATAACCCGGGCTGCCCCTTCTCGAGGCGGTCAGTGGGGGAAAGGAGCCCCCGCCTTGCCAGGGGTCGGTTGCATGGAGATGTCTAGGAGCCCGGGCACTTGCCCCTGGGGGAAGGGGAATCAGCCCTAACGCGCTATGTCTCTCTTGTGTCTGTGCCTGATGGAAGTAAAGCGGGGCCGGCGTTCAAGCGCAAGCGTCAGGTCCGAGCCCAAGCGAAACCTGGGGAACCTGGCTTGCTTTTGCCTCCATTAGGGTGCTTGGGAGAAGACCTGAACCCTCCCAGCATTTCTTTCTCCCCC